AATCTCTCATGTCATGTAACATGGGTTTGACTGGATCAATGCCTTTATGTTGTCGTCATCAATCTCAGTGGGCCTCCCTGACCCATTAGTGTGGTTGAGATCAAAATCACTACCACAGAATTTCATGAACCATCATTGGCACTGACGTTCTTGTAGAGCATTGTCACTGTAAACTTTATGCAACTTTTTCACAAGCTTGACGTGCGTTATTCCCTTTATGGAAGTAAAACAGTAAAATATGGCAAAAATGCAGTTTGGTCTTCCATCGTCAACTTGTAAAATCTCCAAAACTCAACCAAATCACTCAATTTTTTTTAGAATGAAGCTAGACTGTCAGCTGTCAAATGACATAGCAATAACATAGATGCTAATGACTGTAGTACTTCCAAAAATGAACTAGTGCCATCTGTCCCAAACATATGTCATGACTTTTCCGAAGACCCAATACTTGACTTGGAGCTAACAGGTCCTGGAAAAACACACTGTTCCCCAATAAAATTTCTTTAAAAAAAACCCACAATGTCCTTCAGGATTTGGCCCTGTCCATCCCAACTATCTCAACTCCAGTTTTCTTCCTAAGGTACCCTATATTTCTGCCATCCAAAACAACTTATGGTTTTCCTGTCCTCCTGTGCTGTTTTCACATTTTCTGTGCCTTTGCATGTACATTTCCCTCCTATTCATACATCAACATCCAGCTTAAAAGTCTGTGAAGTCATAGAAAGAGCCCCATGCCACTCAGGCCTTCTTTTTTTCTCACAGCACTTCACACATTCCTCTGTATAGCACTGGTATACTCTCTGTATTATTGACCAACAGCATCCCACTATTTGGATTGAGAGCTACTATAGGGCAGTGACCACATGAATCCTGGCACATAAAAAATGCTCAATAAATGTTTTCTGAGTGAGTGACCTTGCATGAAAGGTTTTCAGAGACTAAAAAGCAATACAAGCAAAAGCAGACAACAGCTATTTTCTGTTACTGAAAGCACGTATTTTCTCAACTCTGACCTTTGGCTGAGGGCCACTTAGGTACCAGACAGACTGGGATGCTGAAGTACTTCCTAGCTGTGTGCGCTAGGGCAAGTTAACTAAACTCACAAAGTAACCACCTTTGTAGTGTGGTTATGAGGATTAATTAACGTATGTGGTTTTCTTTTAAAGTACTGACTAAATGGTAGTTCTCCTTGACTGTCATAATCACAAAAACCTTAATAAGACAGGATATCATACCATCAGGAATGTAATCACAATGAAATTTTGGTTGGTACTATCTGTTTTTTTAGGAGAGTTAAAACAACAAATCCAATGGCTAGCTTGTCTTCTTCAAGCTGCTTCGCTTGCCCTCTCCTATTCAATACCAACCACTTAATGACTACTATCAACCTTGGCTCCTTTGGCAAGGCGCACTCCCGGTTTTCTGGTCTCTCTGATCACAATTCCTCTGTCTTCTTCTGTAACTTGCCCTCTATTGATACCTAAAGGCAGGCATTCTTGGCTCAGTTCTCACATTTTTTTCTCATCTTGTCCACTCTCAAGACTTCAATTCGTAACTCTTTGGAGATGATCCTATGATCTGTCAGTCACACTCAGAAAGTGTTTCAAACCTAACTTACTCAAAATAGGTATTTTTTATCTTAATGAATTAGATGATCAAGCATACAGCTTCAATTTCTCCTCTCATGCCCCTTTCTCTTTTCCTGATTCTTATACATCTCACCAGTCCTCAGGATTTTCCTCCTTTGCTTACCTCTTAAAGTATTTGCCAGATTTACCTCTTTGATCTTTCTAGTCTACCTAAGTGGCTCTTAAATTTTCTGAGATAATGGACCCCTTTGAAAATCTATTGAATGATATGGATTGTTTACTAAACAGATGAGTATACACAACATTTGCTTGCAATTTCACCTAACCAATGACCTCAAATAAGAATCTGTGCTCATCCACACAAGACTACCACTTAAATAAATATTCATCTCCAGGTTCTACTTCCCTGTTATAAATTTCAAGATGCCTTCTGGAAATAGTCTAAATGGCCTACAGGCACCACAAACTTAACAATCCGAGTCAAAGCTTATTATTTCTCCCTAACAAACCTGCTCTGCCTACAGTATTCCTTCTCAGATAATGGCACAACCATCTGCCCAGGCTCCAATTCTAGAAGCCTTGGAATTAATAACTATGCCCACACCCAACCAATCACCAAGCTTTGTCTCAGAAATTCCTCTCAAATCCAAATCCCACCTCTTTCAGATTCTTACTTTAAGACTGCATCATCATTTGCTTCTTCCCATGATTAAACCTTTCTACCACCACTCTTTTGACAAGAGCCCATTAACTCATTCTCTTTACAAGGTTTCTCACCTCCATCTCCTACCTTCCACTGACACTGTATTACTTCACCTCTAGATAGTTGCAATAGCCTAACTGATTTCCTCACCTCAGTTTTTATTCTTTTATTATTTCCACCACTGTTGATCTATCTTCCCCCAAAATTTCAAAATTGACCAGAGACTGCACCTTTCCAAAAACACTGATGCTTCTCCATTGCACAAGTATACAATCAAATTCAGTTTTGCCTTTAGAGTCCTGTAAGGTTTGGCACCTAAGTACTTATCCAGGATTAGATTCCACAGCTCACACTGTCACTTCTGTCTATTATATATCAAAATCACACCCACTCATAAAAAGTCCAATTCAAATTCCATTCTTCATATTTATATCCTCCACATAATGATTAGGAAAGAGCTCTGCAAAGAAAAGGCAAAATTCCTAATGAATTGATTCACGAAGTGAGAATAAAACAAAATAAAACCCTGAAAATCCTTAAACCCTTCTGGAAGCATTACATTTTAAAAAAAATACTGATCTTCAAATATTAACATTTTAATCAAGAAACCCTCCATAAACCCAGCACTATTTATCAACATTTATTAAATGCCAATAATGTGCAACGTAGATTAAATTCTTACTAGGGCATGTCATCAACCTGAAGATCAAAAGCTATAATCTGGACCCAGAATCCTAATTACAATTATATTTGTATTTTATTTAGGAAAAGAAAATTATAGGAAGAGGACTTGGCCTTTCACCTGATAGAGATTTAGAAGGTCAAAGAAGTCTACAGCAGTGATAGAGAAGTTACCTAATCTAAATGATCTTCATACTAGTAAAAATCCTATCAGGTCGGGAAAAAAACCTTTCAACGAAATATCCTAAAACTAAGATTTTTTCAGTCCACATTTTGGATGCTAATTATTAAAACAAGGGCCGAAGTATGTGATGGGCAATTCTGAGCCTCTTATAAGTGAGACACGTTTACTGGCATGCTTTACCAGCAGGTGCAACAGCTATCAGATGTGTATGGCAGAGAAGTGATGTTGCGGGCTGTACTTTTTCTCCATTACTTCCTAGGGCTTTTATTTCTTTTATGCCTGACCTACTTTAAGTTCTCTATTGGCTCATAAGCCTCTGAGTTCACGTTAATTTTCATAGCTGTATAGTATGCAGCATTTTGCTCCTGAAGAGAATAAGACTACTCAAGATTCAAGTAGTCCTTTTTTTTTTTTTTAATTTTCACTAGTCTTTCTGTCTAGCTAACATACTTGGTAAAATATGCCTTCTATGATGTTTCTAAAATTATGATCACTCAAATTTGAACATGTTTCTGAAACAGATTTGCTCATAACAATACGCTAAAAATCTAAAACTAACAGAAACACTATTTAAGCATAGCAGAGTGTTAATGGAAAGAGCTGCAGTATTTGAATTAGGATCTCAGTCTATAATGTCAAGTGTGACTCTTTAGTTGTATGCCCTTAGGAACTGGCTTCACCTCGAAATACTTTCTCACCTGAAAGAGGGATATCACCACCTTTCCCTCCCTCAAGGTGGCTGACTGTTCAAATAAAATGAGATAGTGTACCTAACAAAGTACCTGCCACGAAGTGTTCAATAAATATTAGTTTGCTTCCTTCATTTAACATAAAAGACAAGTCACAAGAACATTTAGGTGTAAGGGAATCCACACTTCCACAAGTCTTCATCAGCATAAAACACTATATAGCTAGCTGGTTGTAATAAAAATAATACCGTCACCCTTGTTCCACGTTTCTGAGGAATATAGATTAAGATGAAGGACCCTGCGTGTGACTCTGCAAGACCTCCATTAAGTCTGCATATATACTGACCACTAAAACACTAATAGAAAAACATCACAGTAATTGTTCTAAAACGTCTGGATGCATTTATGCTGGTAAGAGAGCTCACTCGGGGTAAAGAAAAAAAAAAAGAGTCAAATTAGGCCCAATTCCAAACGACTCTTTAATAAATTAAGAGAACGTTGCTGGCTTATCCTTCCAGAAACAGAAGCAGTACGATATTAAAATCCATTTAAAAACTTCAAGATTGAAATATTACACAACTAACACTGGTGCCACTAATGCTTTTTAGAAAGTCTGCGCAGGAGAGCACCATTAGCACCGCTGAAAATATTTAATAAAAGCCGTTAGAGGAAAACACAGGCGAGAGGAAGAAAATAGATTCATTTCGGTGTTCTACACACAAGACCGCTTTCACGATCACGGCCGCCACCATCACTGACCCACAAGCATCTAAAGGAATTCCGTACTTTACAATCGGATGTCAAAAAGAAGACCACCATGCTGGCATTAACGGGGCAGAGGGGGAGGCGCTTCCATTCCCTTCCTGGGGGTCCTGGCTCCAAAATCCCCGCTGCGCCCTAGTCCGCCCCCCGCGCCCCCTCCCCACAGTGAGCGAGGGCCAGCTCGCGAAGTGCCCCGAGCAACACCCAAACCTCCACCGGCCCCAGGGCCCCGCCCGAAGCCCCAGGCTCGCGGGCCTCAGCGAAGCCCAAGGTTGGGGGCGCGGCGGCGCGGGAGGCCCGGGCACGGCCCAGGCCGCGGTTGCGTCCGCTGCAGCCCCGAAAGGTGGGGTGGGCAGGCGCAGACGGGCCTGCGGGCAGGCGCGGACACTCACCACACCATGCCGTAAGCGCCCTCGCCGATGTACGAGAGGTTGGTGTAGCGCGGCCCCACATCGAACACCTGCCCGCGGACCATCTCCGGGCCCGCGCCCGCCGCCGCCGCCGCCATGTTGGCTGCCGCCGCCGCCTCCGCCGCGCTGGGCTGAGCTCGACGCTCCGCGGCCGCCGCTCGGCCTACGCTGCGCCTCCTGAAGGGACCGCGCCGCCGCTGGTGCAGCAGCTGCCGCTGACCGGGAAGGAGCAAGGAGGAAACCGTTCAGAAGAACTAAAGAACCCACTGCAACCCAGACCGACTGCTTGCCTGACTGACGGGCGGGCCGGCGGGCGGAGGGAGGGGCGCGCGTCGAGGAGAGCGCCGGGCGGGGCAAAGCAGCGTGCGCGAGGACTGGCTCTCCGCGGCCTAGGGGCGTGGCTTCGCGGGCCGGCGGAAGCAGCGAGCTTCGGCCGGAGCGCGGCGGTCGCGGCACCGCCCTAAGCGGTCACGTGCTCTTGTGGGGGTTTCTGCGCCGAAGGTGGCTCTTGAGAGATAGGAGGTATCCGGGGTGTCGGGACAGTACCCAGGGGAGTGATCCAAAGAGACAGGCATGGGAAGCCCTGGGAAGGGGTTCGGATTAAGCCAGAGAGTGACCCGGGACAGCGTGTGAGGGACAACGACCCGCCACACACCGGCTGCAGGCCTGGGCCGGGCCTATGCTAGTATGTGGCCCACACACAAACTTAGAGGCCTTGAGACCAGGACAGAAAACAAAAGGCATGACAGGCCCGAGATAGATATTTGCATACTGAGAAAGTGTGAAACACAAATGTGGGAGGATCCGCTAATAGAGTTTCGCTCAAGTGTTTGTTGAGCACCTGTCAAGTTCCTGGGCATCCACCCTCATAGAAATTACGTTCTAGAGGGATGAGATGGACAAATTTATATATATATATATATATAGAGAGAGAGAGAGAGAGAGAGAGGGAAAGAGAGAGAGAGAGAGAGAGATAATATATATTATATGTTATATGTTATATATTATATATATTACTCAAGTTGTGTGGTAAAGGTCTGAGATGTTAAGTAAAAGGTGGTATAAGGAAACCAATTTTACTATAGGGTAATCGATATAAACAAGAGTTAAGTTCCTATGGCAGCCAATCCACGTTATTTGAGGACCTGCTGAAGTAGGTTGAGACACTAGAGAAAGACACTGAGATTCAGAGACTGAGGCCTAGCTTGGTACAGAGGGACAGACACCTAGAGGACATACTGATAAATACAAAGATAGAAATGCTAAATCAAAGCATCAAGATCTAGGGCAGGGGTCAGCAAAGTGCGGCTCGCGAGTCACATGCGGCTCTTTGGGTACGTACATGCGGCTCTGAAGTAAAATTGAAAATGAAATAAAACTATCATAGTTTCATTTATAAAAATTTTAAAGGATATTATTCACATAATGGCGATTTCATTTGTTTTATAGGCCTCACAAAACTTCGAGGGACAGGATTGGCTCTTCTGTCTCAAAAGTTTGCCGACCCCTAATCTAGGGAAAATGAGACATACACACTGAGGCTAAAAAATAGTCACAAACAACAGAGGTTGAAAAATAAGAACTGGAATCCTGAAACAGCTGAATGCCAAGAACAGCTAAGACGACATAAAATGATCCAGCCACTGCTTCTGAACCATTTCCCACTCCATCTTTGGAGGAGTAAGGGTAGAAGACCTTGCATCCTGATTGTCCAACTCTGTGATCTTGAAAGCCATCAACTCTGGACATCTAGACACCAGCAAAGATAAACTCATCTATCTCAAAGGTGAATAAGCAACTTTTAAAAAAGCACTGTGGGAAAAACATATGTGGCACATGAGAAAAGAAAGTGCTACAGCCAAAAATTACAACTTTGAAATATATTTAGTCTGTGAAGCAGAATCCAGTTTTAGAAAACACCTAATTCTTATTTTCAGTTTCAAGAGGATATTGCATCTTTTAAAAACTTGCCAAGATAAATGGAGAGTGATATGGGGTCGGCCAAGTGGCGCGTTGGTTAAGAGTTGGCTTGGGATGCCAGCTCTGAGCAGCAGCATGACCCAGGTTCAGATTCCACATTAGGGCCAGTGACGCTGTGCCCTCTGCAGCTAAGATGGTGAACAACAGCTTGACCTAGAGCTGGGCTGCCATGAGCCGCTGGTGATGGTGTAGGCTGCAGTGGGAGTGGCAGGCAGTGGGCGTGAGCTGTCGTGAGCGGCTGTGAGCAGTCCATTGGCCGGCGAGCAACTGCCTCATCTGGGAAGAGCGCAATGATAATACCAACATGGCCCAGGGAAGCGATGTCCTCCACAACTAGACTGAAGAACAAAAGGACAGCAACTTGTCTGTTCCCCTTCCCCAGTTCCCCAACGCTGTTCCCCTCCCCCAATTCCCCAATAAAATCTTTAAAGAAAAAAATGGAGAGTAATATGAAATTAAAACCACAATAACCAAAGTAAAATTCATTGGTCAAAGCAGTAAAAAGCAGATTTGACAATGCAGAAGAGCAAATCAACAATATAGAAGATAAACATAAGAAAAATACAAAGTGATGGAATTCTGTAAGAGAAGAAAATGGATATGTAAACATCATGGAGATTCAAACTATAGGCATACCCCCAAAGAAGACATAGCAAATCAATAAAGTTATAATAAAAGAAAACTTCCCTTAGGTGTAAAAAGATCTGAGGTACAGGTAGAAAATTGAGTGAATTCACTGGGATCCAGGAAAATGAATAAGCAGAAACCAACTTCAAGACATAATCTGGAAATCTGGAAAATTTCTTAAGTTCAGGGATAAGGAACAAGACTAAGAGAATCCAATCAGAAAAAAAAAGATTATTCACAAAAAAGCTAAAAACTGGGTCTTCAGATGCCTCGTCGGTAATAATTAAATTCCCAAAGGAAAATGGAACAAGATTAACAGCATTCTGAGGGGGTAGGTTATAATCCTCCATGGGTGATTTCATTCCCTGCAATGTCTTAATTCCTCCCAGATCTTTAACCATTACTCAGAATATCTCTCCTAAATCCCAGGTCAGCATGTACCCCTGGACAGCTCCACATGACATCCCACAGGTGCTTCAGTTCCACATATTCCAAACTGCCAATGGTTAACTACATGCATTCTGCAGTCACACTGCTAGAGGGTTTGAATCTTGGCTGTTCCACATACTACCTGTATGACCTTGCCCTCAGTTTCCTCACTCTTCAAATGAAGATCACAATAGTACTGACCTCATAAATTTGTTGTACAGGGTAATGAAAACAACATATGTAAAGAGCCTGGCACATAGTAAGTATCCAATACATGTCATGTTATTATTATCTGCCCCACCCAAACCTGTTCTTCATCTTGTATCTGTGGATAGCATCAACTTTACCCAGATACTCAAGTTAGTTTGGGTATGATCCTTCACAACTCATTTTACCTCCTTCCCACCCATTCCTCCTATCCAAACAATCACAGACTCCTGTAAATTCTACTTTGTTAATATTTCTGAAATTGTTGCTACTCGATACATGGTCTCTAAACTAGCAGCATCAGCATTGTGTGGGAGTTTGTTAGGACTGCAGCATCTCAGGCCCCACTTCAGACCTACTGAATCAGAATCTGCATTTTAACAAGATCCATGTGGTTCATATGCACATCAAACTTTGAAAAGCACTGTTTCAAATACATCCACTTTATTCCCACTGCCATTTATTTTAACTCTTCTGCCTTCGGTGTCGCCCATCTCCAATGGCTTCTCATACCGAGGCAGTCTTTCCATAATAAAATTGACCATATTACTTCCCTTCTGAAAGCAAGTTAGTGACCTCCCACTGCACTCAGGGTGAGGTCTATGCCGAGCATCCCTCCACCCCAACTCCTTTTACTCTGCTCTCCTTGCCTTCCATGTTCCATACTAATCTCCCTCCACTCTTCCAACATTTGAGGACTTTTTAAAGCCACCACACTATAATGGCATGATGCACCTGATCACTAATTTTCTCCAGAGAACTTCTCTTGCCTGGCTCCATGGGCACTAGGTAACCTTATAATTACAGTTTAGTTTCACTTGTGGTTTTCTGACAGGGAAAGTGCATTGACCAGAGGACAGCGCTATTCAGGTCCTGTGGCAATTACTATTCATCCTAAGATGGGGTTTAGTTATACATCAGTCTCTACTGAGTCATATTAGAATGATACAGGCCCAGAGGGAAAGGCTATCTAGCCACAGTGACAATAACAAACTTCTGGAAGCACGAAAATGAGAACTAGGCTCACTGAGACCAAACTAAGCTACTATCAAACCAATAAGACCCTATTTGGATGGCTAGCTGGCCACCTGAATGTCTTCCTTATTGTCTCTCTAGAGTGCTGACAATTCACAGATCTGTAGAATCTTAGAAAAACAATGGACATCTGTTATTTTTGCCTGCCCAGCATCAACTCCTGGTAGCACAACCCAATTTTCTGTTGATGAATGGTCTCTTCTGCACTCTCATGAGTAAGCATGTAATCCAGAGCTCCCCAATCAGAGTCACAGATGTTAGTTCAAAGGATGGGTATGTGACGTGATCCAGGAAATATATTGACGTGATCCAGGTAATATATTACCAAAACATAAATCAGAAACTCATGAATGATTAAATGAGAAAAGAACTGGCAATGAGTCTTGCAACTAGCTAAACACAGAGAGATAAATGAATAAAAACCCAACTGAGTATAGACTGTTTGATGCTAATAAATGGAAATAATTGTTGCTATGGTAACAAACAAAATGCAAAAGAAAAAAATTGAGAAAGTGGATTTTTAAAATAGTAGGGCTTTTAACCTCAGATTAATGCAATGAAAACCAGAGAGAGAGAAAGGGTAGAAAAAGCAAGGCACTAGGTCTTGTTTTACATAAATAAAGATAAAAGTTATTTTAAAAGATACTATAATTTCATTATTTTTTTCAGCGTAAGAAGCTTTTTTGGTGGCATAAAAACTTTATGTCTACCTTATAAATTATTACGAGATAAAGGGGAAAATGTAATTCATACAGCAAAAATCAAGAGTCCTGTTCCAAGAAGTGTACTAGACACTTTCTTCACGTTGTAAATGGAAAAGAAATGGCAAAGAATCATAAAAATGGTATCAGAAGACCAGAAAATTTGATGATGGAAAGTGATACTGTATAACAAATAAGGCAAATGTAAATAAAAAAAGAAAGTGTGAGTAACTAAAATTTCTATGTAAAAATATGAAAATCTCAGATCAGATCAAAGAGCAAACTCTGAATATATACTGTTGTTAAAACATGATGCATCAAGGGCCGACTGAGTGGCGTATTGGATAG